AAATATTCAAATTCAATTATCTAGAAAACAAAGCACCGTACAAACAAATTTCATAAACAAATTTTTCACACAAAAATAGCCTCTTCCTAAAAAACATTGTACATAATATTTATAATTAAGGTAATAAATTCACAAAGAAAAACTAATTTGAGAACTTACCAGAAGTTACAATGCTCATAAAGATCATATAAATTACATAAAATTTACCAAAATTATAAACATTGTATAATATTTATTAAAGATTCTTGAATCCCTTACTGGAGAACGTGTGACTCCGTTCTGGAGTATCGTTACGAGGGGGAGGTTTCGTCGGGAGGCGTCTAAGTTTCGATTTCTGCAACGATAAGATGAAATTTAAGAAACACGCGTATTCAACGGTGGTAGATTGCGATTGATACGCGTTATGCGCACGCACGTCGAGCGAAATAAATCTTGCAGTGTGTCGTGGGGCCGCCTCGAGGTTGCCCATTACTGGAGAGAATGGTCAACCATAAAGTGCCTTCGTTTCTTCTTCTTTTAAACAACGTTGCTCCCCAACAGGCAACAAAGCAGAATGATGATGCTACTGGACGGAACGTTACTGCCCGTGAAGTCTCTGATTGATACATGCTGCGCGTACACACCACTCTTTGATGCAATCATATTCGCGTGCGGATGAACACACGCGAAGCAACAGTAGCGTAGACATCTGCAACAGCGGTACGTTGGTGGTCCCCGGGTTCACAACGCCGGATAGAAATGCAGTCTCGAGTGCTCGATTCAATTCGATCGAAAATGGGGTTGAGTCCGAGGGGTGGATGAGATCGTTGTTTGACGATCAGTAATGGGCAGAGAACACCACAGAAAGCTGATTTCAATGCGGTACAAAGTACTATCATGGCTTCAACAATGTCTGTTCGGTACATTTAGTCGAATTGCGTGCACTTTGAAAATGCAAGAATTTTTAGTTGCAAAGGAATAATTACGATTCGTTGATGTTGTGAAAAATTATTTTAGGGGGTTGGAAATTTTTTGCAGTGCTAAGAAATTATGGGAATCTCAAGTTTGCAGATTTGCATAATTTAATATTTATTGTATTGATTATCATTTCCTTTTTTACGTGCTTCAGTATATCATAGAATAATTATTAGTTGCTTGCAATGGAAGTTTATTACATATTTATACAGTATAAATTTTATCTATTTTTCACTCAGATCTCTAATTTTTCTTTTACATTTTATGATATAAATTGGTGCACGTATCATTGTTTATGCTTCCTATCTCATAAAATTGTAACGCCTATTACATTTTTACCAACACCGTATCATTTTCTACATATTTACTATTTTTCTAATATACCGAATCAACTTGCATCGAGTTTTTCTCTGCGTTCGAATTTATACTCCGGCTGGTGGAAAACGACGAACAAAAAGGAACGCTTGAAACGTATATTCGCTAAATCATAGGACGCGTGTCCCACATTTGTCAATAAAATTACTGTCCGGTTTCATAGAGCAACGCGTACGCGATAGTATAATTACAGTGTACTTGACATGGTATCATGGCGAGATAACTACGTTCGTACCGGTTAGAGGAGCATATAAACATTCGTGTTTATTCTACGCTTCGTAGCAGAGAATTTTATAATTCGTACAATATTAAAATATTCCAACATCTTCAATAAATAAAATTAATTTTTTGAAACATTCTTATACATCTTGCTGCACTAATTTGTCAAGTGCAACCGTACCCTTTTTTAAAAATAGAAATGCATAATCTTTTATACGGAAATCGATTCCTTATGCCATTCCGCGTATCACAAGTTTTAATAATCCCAAACTAAATAGTCCACAAGATAGTTCAACTTAGATCGCTTTCTTATCTTTACAACCTTATTGGCGTTTAGTATCATAATGCTAAGAAAGATTTAGTAAACTGATGTCACCTTTATACGCGAAATGAGGAAAATGCAAGAAAAATCACACAATTTTATTTTCAAAAAGCGTATAAAATAAAGTCACATAATTTCGCGTCTTCTCCATCCTCAATAGTTTTAAAGGAAACATCCTGCACGTAACTGAATATTTATTTTTAAACGGAGGGGCCATCAATCAATCGCAGACGTGGCGTAGATAAGAGCAAAAAACCACGAGCATTAATTCGAATAAAAATCTGGTTGGACAAGATGCCTGAAGCTTGTTATTCGTTGACAAAACTTGAACGATTCCGCGAAACCGTTAGGGACGCGTAAGCGGTGTTTCATAAACGACCGGTGCCTTGGCTAAAGTAATACATCCCGTAGGAGGTACACACGCGTGTAACGTTGGTACACGCGACAATCGGTGGCACCACGGTGTGTTCGTTACGTCCCTGCGGTGCTTAGAAGGGAATATTCACAGATAGAAGTCAATAAATCCAACCGATGGTGCTCAACGTGCTCTCAGGCCGTGCCGGTAGTCCAGAAGAAACTCGCTGCCGGCAAATAATGGCCGTGGAATCGTCGCTTCCGTTTATAGAGATACCGGCTGCAGCTTTCTAAGCACTCGCATACGCGATATCCACGCCGAGAAGAAGCCGCGGCGAAGCTGCCGTGGAACTAACTCGGAACCAGCTGTGTGCCCTCCAACAATGGACGCCAGTGGCGTATACTCTTTTATACCAACTGGATTTTTATTCGTACCACGAACTCGATAGAACATGGATTTTATGTAGAGTTCCGTTACTCGGACAAGATTAAAAAAAGATAAGTGGTGGCGATGAAATTAACTCCACTGGTTCACCTGTAGCTCGACCATTCAGTATTTTCAAAATATGGGGACTGTGGAGTAAATGGAAAAGGAAAGGAAATTGGGGATATTGGGTAGTCGGTCGAGCGCTTGCGAGAGAAAGGGTTCCTCTGGCGGCAAGTACGGAACCAAGAGCAGAAAGGAAATTCGGAATTTCTAATGCAAGAACTATTTTTACTATTGCTATGTCGATCTTTGGATTATTGCTTCATGTTGGTGATATGTTATCAATTTCTATCAAACAGAGACCAACTATCAGTCACGCAACTTCGCTACATTACCCTTATCGTAGTTGCAATTTTCACTTTAACCTATTTGAGTACAGATCTGTAGTGTTTAAAAAATATTTTAATAACGTGTGATTTTTAAGGTACACAGTTGAAACTCAAATACACTGTACAATATTTTTTAAAAACATTATAAATACAAAATAATATATCCCCCAAAACAATATAAAGTATCAATTTAAAAAAAAAAAACAATAATTTAATGCATAATGGTGTTAGTAGATTGAAACTTAGGGGCTGATTTCGCGGTCAATAGCTGGCCAATCGATTATCAAGATAAAAAGAGGAACTTAGCATAAAAACTTTATTGATCTTGATATGCAAATTCCCATGAGTCATCTCGGCGCGAACGTATTTTACCTCGTTTGAATAATTTACGACCTGCGCGATCGTACATGAATTCCATGTCGCGCAAGAAACTCCAATTCCGTCACATTCTAAAGTCGAGGTGAACGAGTCGTTCCACTTAGCAAACGGATCCAATTTGTCGCGCGTCGCTCGGGAAATTATCGCGGGAATATTCGAATCGGCGGCGACGCGCACGCGCCCGCGAAGAATTCGAAAAAAAATTCCAACCAGGCGTTTCTAAACGAACAACAAATCCTTGTTTCGGTCGCGTAAAACATGAATGGCCTCTTAATGAGACTCCGGTTTCTCGTTTCTTCCGCGCATCGACCGCTTCCAAGGGCGATCGATCAGGTACTACAATGCAACTCAGACCGCCATTAGGACCCGTTAGAAAGTAGCTATTCTTTATAATGGCCCGGCAGGATCTAGCTTCACCTTTTCGGTGGACGGTTACAACAGTCACTGACCCTCGTAGAAATCTCTCGGCGAGCTCTGCGGTTTTCTTTCAAATTGGTCTCGCGACTTTTACAGAATTTATAGGACGCCGACGAGCAGGTAGTTCGCCTCGCGCGGACGGAAGCGAGCGATTAAACGAAACAATAAAAAGAAAACTTTAATTAAAGACCCGCGAGAGAGCCGTTCGAAGCATGTAATTCTCGGGGGCAGAATGTTTCTTCGAATGTACTGTTTCAGCGGCGAAAATTATTATATGTTCTTTTTCTATTTTAGTATATCGATACTTTCAAATTTATTACTCATTTGGAACGTGTGGAATATATTAGACAGTGTTTAAAACTCGCGGCAGTGGCGCCATGTTCCTATTGGCCACGCGCGAACCAATCGCGTGTTTCTTCCTGCGCGACCTGTCCGCGTTCTTTTGTTAACGCGTCTCCGAAACCATGTGCTTTGTACGCTCGTTACGTCGTAGTATGATTACATATTAATGTATATTTTTGCTTGAGAATACTATTTCAATACTCTTAAATGTTCGTGAGACCGTGGGAGTGTTCATTTCAAATCGATTCATCGCTCTAAGAAGATAAGTGATAAGAAGGCAAGAAGATTGTCTCAAAGGACTCGGTAGTGAACTAGATTAACTCGAGATCTGTGATCCTGTAAGTTATACTTTAATTTATTACAGAATATGTTTAATATTATAGTTTAAATTAAACCATTTGTAATGTTCTTAATTATACATAAAAAAGTGTAATACGTATGAACCAGAATTGACTTGGGTACGTGGGTGATCTCACCTAACCTCTTTCAGAACAAATTGCTCATCCCAAGAGGAACTATTGTATATTAATTTTAAGGTTTATTTCCTTCGAACTTCTTAATAGATTAGAGGTTTCGTTGTCCAACATAAACGATCGTTTCGTAAACGAATTGAGGTTATGGACATTCGTAAGCTTCGTTCGAGAGTTTCTAGTGCCACGGGGATTTTGTGTACATAATCAAGCTAAAATATTTTCAGAGACAATATTTAATAAAAATTAAGTCGAATTAAAACTCGAATCGATCCAACGAGAGACGAATAGTCGAATTCAATGTTCGATACACAGTTCGCGTGGGTGTTAACGTGGTGTTCGGTTTGTTCCAGTTGTACGTCGAAGTACGTGGGCGAGTACTGCCAGCATCTGAACCCCTGTCACACGGGGGCACGTTGTCAGAACGGTGGTTCCTGCTGGGTGAAAGAGGGCATCGGGGGTGGGACGCCGTCGTTCACCTGTTCCTGCCCCGTCGGATTTACCGCGAGCCTCTGCGAGATACCGATCGACAACGCGTGCGACTCATCGCCTTGTCTGAACGATGCCACTTGCATTCTCAAGTCTCTCCGCGAATACGCTTGCACCTGCGCCACCGGATATACAGGTAAGGATTTTAATAATTTCGCTCGTTAAAATCTCGACGTCGGTCGACAAAGCGTCCGGTAGGCGAGATAAAAATTACCGACGACCGAAACGAGCGGTTTCCATGCGCTCCCTCGATGAAGACGCCCAAGTCCGATTGAGCAATAAAGCGAGAGAATTTACCGCGGAATAAAAAGTCGCATGCATAATTAAACGAGCCGCTGATCCGACGCGATGCTTTCGCCCGATTTTGTGCTCGTGTACATTCGATAAAATATCACCCGACAATGGAAATCGCGAGATATCTTACAGGAATTTAATCGTACGGAATTAATATAAAAGTTATTTTTCCCACTCGTGGCGAACGTCTCGGTTATATTCGAATTGCTACGGAATTCGCAGTGTCGCTAGGATAGCCGTAATTAAATAAATGAAAGACACACGCGAGTCTGTGCACGCGATCGAATCCCTGAATGGATAATGCTCGTTAGTCATCGGAACGACAAATCCCATCGATTCGCGTGGGTCGTGTGCCAAGGTTACGCGATATGTGGAATGATAAAACACGGTGTGGTAATCGCGGTATTGGCATTGTTTCGTTAGAACGAAGACTGGCTTTAATGATTCCATGGCTGACAACAATCGCGCGATCTCGCATTATCGAGAGCGTTAAAAATATAGTGAGGTTGAATCGCATAGGCATTGACTGTACGTCGATCGATTAGAGAGATAATAGCGGTGATCGGCGAGCTCAAAGGGAACGGATCTGGGACTGTTCGAATATTTTAATATTCATATTTTCGTCGAGTATAATTTTCGAAACAAAAATTCGCAGACTCGAGGATCGAATTGATATAATTTATCTGTGAGCTTTTAACTTTTAAACCATTTCTGTTTCAAATTCATTCTTTGCATTAATATTACGATTTCTAAAAATCCAGTTGTTTGTCGGAATAAAAAATATACAGAGTGTTCGGTTAACCCTGGGAAAAATTTTAATGGGAGATTCTTGAGGCCAAAATAAGACGAAAATCAAGAATAATAACTTGTTGATGGAGGCATCGTTAAAAAGTTATTAATGTTTAAAGTTTCGCTCGTACTGAATTTTTTTCTAGAAAGTGGGTAGGATTTCGGGGGTAGGTCTATTCACCAAAAAATATTGTAATTGACCCCCTCAACTGAAAATAATTTTTCCAGAACGATTTGAAATTTTTTAATTTCGTCGAGAGATTTCATACTTTCTCGAATTTTTTTTTCGAAAATGGATAGGATTTCGAGAGTATGTCTAATAACCAAAAATGATTGTAATTGACCCCCACAACCGAAAATAATTTTTCCAGAACGATTTGAAATTTTTTAATTTCGTCGAGATATTTCACACCTTCTCGAATTTTTTTCTCGAAAGTGGATAGGATTCAAAGGTATGTCTAATGACCAAAAATGATTGTAATCGATCCCTGCAATTAAAAATATTTTTTTTAGAACAATTTGAAACTTTTTAATTTCATCGAAAAATTTGACCACCTATTCGAATTTTTTTCTCGAAAATGCTTAGGATTTTGGGGTATGTCTATATTCACCAAAAATGCTTGCAATTGCCCCCTGTAATAAAATATAATTTTTTTATTATGATTTGAAATGTTTTAATTTCAGAACGATTTGAAATTTTTTAATAACTTTTTAATGAAGCCTCAGCCAAGAAATTGATATTCTTGATTTTCGTCTTATTTTGGCCTCTAGAATCTCCCATTAAAATTTTTCTCAGGGGTGGCCAACCACCCTGGATTTTCAATTACGATATAGAAGTTTGAAATATGGAAAGCAAGTACATAATAATTTTTGTACAACTGTTTTGTTTCTCTAACTATAGCAAAAAAGTTAAATAAACTGTAAAAATATAGTACAGAACTCTAGAATGCAGTGGTATTTGATTCGCGAAGTTGAAATCGTCGCGAGTTGTAGTTGGCTCAGAAAGTTCGTTCGAGCGAATTTTTTCGAGTCGCGGAAGTCGCGGACGGCTGCGAACGAGCGGTTTTTATGGGTCGCGTTTGTGCGAGGGCACGTGCTCCGTTGACAAATAAATCTAAGGGCAACAGGAATTTAGTGGCAAATGAAGAGGAGGAAAGAAAGGGAAGGCGGAGAAACAGTGAAGTTTGTGGTGCTGGATAATTGGCGGAGAGCAATGCGGCATTTCGCTGTGGCGGTACCTTTGGCCCAGTGGTTCTCATATTCGAGTCATTCTTTTTACTGGTTTCTAAACTCCTATCAGATCGTTTCGTTTTCGCGAGTTTTTATCTCAATAAACATTCATAAATTTCATTCTTGGCTAAGAAAACAGTAAATGGTAATAAAACAAATTTTAAAGATGGCGGTAGTAGCTCCCAAGATACTCCCTCAACAAATTTATAAATAAAAATATCTTTTTTGTCAAATAAAAAATATCGAATCAGAAAAATCTGTGTTTGTGATAAATAAATAAAACAACGTTGTAATATTGTGAAAGTTGATTGTTCTGAATGGCGGTAATTATCTAGGTTAAAGAAAAATTCATCAACGGTAATATTCTGAAACTTGAAGTCTTTGTATTTCCAAATTTAATTACAAATACGCGTGGAACAATTTTGTAGCGATTTTAATAGTGTTCACAAAATGGTTGCATCGAGATATCCGAGCACCACTGACGCGTAGCGGGTGCTCTGTGCAGATCGAGGAGCAAAGACATCTTAGATCCAAGGGAGCGAGCAACGACTCTGGTAATTAGTTCCACTAATCAGTGACCCCGGGAGGAGGGGGAGCCTGGTAGTTTAGGTAGACAGGACGACTTGGTCAGTGTTACCGCCATCTTAAACGATATCTCCCCTCGCGAGGGAGCACAACCGAGCACAAAATACCAAGCAGATTCATCCTCGTCTTCGCGGTGATCTCTATCGACGAGATTCGTAAGAATCGCAAAACACTCGTGCCAGTCTCGTATCCATCCCCCTGTGCTAGACGCTCGTTAACCGCAATTAAGGGGATGTGTACTCTTCACTGCCCGGCGAAGAGTCGCGTGTTACGATTTTATGAATGCGTTTGCAATCGAGAAAAATATGTTGAATTACGCTGATAAAATTTCTCTTAGTCGCGAATCGAATTTGTGTAATTTTCAAAACTGGTACAAGTCCATTCTGTCGTATATTGTGATATTTAAGGGTTTAAGTTTGAATAAATTACAAGTAAAACTAGTGAGGGGTCGTGGCACGTTGGAGACAACGACTCCCGTGTGATCAGCGAAGTGCAGCTGCATCGGGCCGCGTGCAGCACAGGATGGGGGGTTACCGCTCGGGGGAAAAAAAACACGTAGTTATTAATTTATATATACTGTTTATATTATTATATCACTCTTATCGGTTTCGTAATTAGGTATTACTTAGGGTTAATATTTAAAACAAAAAAAAGTACTTTCTAAATAAAAATAACACAGTGTTGTAGTAAACAACATATTTGGTAAAAATAAATAGTAAAGAAGTCATAAAAAAGAAAACTACAGTAAATAGAACAAACACACAAAAGTATTTCGATAACAAAAATAGCACAGTTACAATAAATAATTGGAAAAAATATTCATAAAAAACAAAATTACGGTAAATTAGAAGCAACACAAAATTGCTTCGTAAACAGGAGAAATTACAGTCGTCTAATAAACAATATAATAAACAACGTAATAAACAAAATGGTAGTAGTATCGGTTCCATTTACAGTGAATTGCCAATTAGAGTGTATGAATAACGGTAACTTTGTAGCAATGGTGAAAATGTTGATTGTATTTATTATGGGGCCTCCGCGGTCGATCGAGATCGACGATCGATACACGGGGTGTCCCTTCGTTTTCGCCGTTAAAGTGTAAGACACTCGTCACACGTTGTTCTGTTCTGTTTGCGTTTCAGGCGAGCACTGCGAGCGACAAGACCACTGCGCCGCGTCGCCGTGTCGAAACGGGGCCGAATGTCGATCGCTCGAGGACAGCTACAAGTGCACGTGCGCACCCGGCTTTGCGGGGCCGAATTGCGCGGAGGACATCGACGAATGCGACAGGAACCCGTGCAGGCACGGCTCCTGCATAAACATTCACGGATCTTACAAGTAAGTCGAACGACATCGTTAACGGTCCCTCCCAGCATTTTACATATATCTCCTTTAAACGTAAATTGCGCTCTCGCGTCGGTCTCGAAGTTCGCCGATAAAACAAGCCGCGACTCAATTTCGCGCGACGATTTCACTGGGATTCCAGCGACAGGATCGAGCACACTGTTCCCCATTTCGAGTAAATCTAAAGCGATACTCTTGCAACTAATATGACCGTGTTAAAATCCGTATATTTTTTAATACACCGGCGTCGGTGTTGGTCTGAAATTATTTCGAATAAAATTAATTTATATAACGCGTAAAAGGTGGCCCGGTACCATCGCCACCGCGTTTACTCTCCCGTCTACGTCGTATCTTCGTCGATCTACCGGGAGATGCGTATCGTTACCATTTTGTAGTTAGCATAAATTTTTATCACCGACAGTGACGATCGTAATCTGGGCGAGCGTACTCGCCGGGAAGGAGTGACTTCGAGACCGCGCGGGGGGCAACGAATCTCGAAGTTTGCGCGAAGTATGGCGATATTACGCCGCGTAATTATACGCTGCATCCGTGACCCGTATTTTCTTATTAATCTTATAACTCTAAATTTCGTTGAAACTTGAAATTTACTCGCGATCCTTTCGGAGGATCGGCCATTTTTTAAGATGAACGTCTTTCTGATAGCCGCAACAGATACTTACGAAATTGTTTATGCCGAAGGGGGGGAATTACATTGCAGCGTACGGCCGTTCCAAGTAATGTTATACATTTTCGGAAGTACGAAGTAAATTTTGAAGATTAAGTATCGCCCGGAAATTACGGTTTATTAGCGACGTTGAAAAGTAGGGGTGAAACTTGGCCCGGATACGAATCGCTGGGAAACATATTTTTATTTATACTAAAATTGTATTGTGATAATTACTGGAAACGGAGAGGACTCTGGGGGAAGTAGAATTAATTCAGGGGTGTTTGTACTCGGTTCAACAGGCACGAAATAAAAACAGAGAGGTCACTCAGGGACGTGTCTCAATCCAGATGATTTAAACGCAAGTAACGAGTCATTAAAAAATGCATTGAACGTGTTGTTCAAATTACTGAACACAAATTTTAGCAATTGGACCATTATATTTATAATTAATCTGACAGTCCAAACAGCTGAATCAGCATAAATTGATAGTAATAAATAGATAAATTAAATATTGAAATACAGTTTTCCATAGCTTAATTCGTATTTTCACTCCTCATTTACATTATCATGTAATAATATTAGCGATATTTAGTATTGTATTAATATCGAGGATGAGTATTTTTGGTTCAACAAATTATCTTCTTTCCTGCTGTTTAGGGGTCTGACCATTTTGGCCCTGGTGCAGCTGTTTGTATTTCTTGCCAGTTCTCGTTGAACCGGGTACGGAGTTTAGACGTCGTTTCTTTCGCGTCTACGGAGAGTCACTTTGTACTCGGTGGGATTCGTAAAAAGCGAGAAGTCAAGACACGCCGGCGTCTACCTCTCGAAATATCGTCGCGGATGAGCAAGCGTGGCGATGAGGGCTTTAAGAGAACCCGCGGTAGTGTCGTTCGTCTTTGCCGCAATTACCGATTGAGCACGGACGGTGGAACGCGGAGGGCATAACGACTCCGAACAACGAGAATTCATCGAGTCGATCCCACGGACCATTATGGATTTGCCCCGTAATTCGACGTTGCGTCGCTTCAAAAATCATTTCTGTCTCGCCCCGAGGCCCCAGCGTCCTTTTCCACCAATCTCGGGAGCTTTCGGTCTCGGTGTTTCGAAAACCAGGGGACAGGTGAGTCGCAGAAAGTGAAAACGCGAAAGGGAATATACGTTCTCGGGTGGTAAACAGTGCCTTCGTAATCGCTTTGGCCGAATTTTGTCAATCTTCTCCTCGTACGACTTTCTTAATCTTAGTTTCGTTATATGAAAACGAGCTTCGACTGGATCTACAAACGTTTGAAAGAATTTGAAAACGCTCTATTTTATTACGCATTTCTTAATCCAGATATTGTATTGCTTGCATTGCTATTTTTAGTGTAGCTTCTGAGAAATTTCTAGATCAGATAAACAATCCTTTATAATTTTTGTAAATCAATGACTAATATAAATGCTATTTTATAAAAGTTGGCAATTTTTCATAAGTACCATTAAGTAATTTTCTTTTGACAAAAATATATTTAAGAATGTCTGACCGGTGGACAAGAAGTCCCCTTTCAAAAATTCAATACTCAAGTCGAATTCTATAAAGCACGTGGTTGTTCGAATCAATAATAAAAAAAAACACAGCCTCGAGTCTCACAAAGACTGTCGAGCGACGAAGGGTCGTTCTTAGGGGCACGTGGTGGAGGGAGCAGGGGCAAGGGGGGCAGATTTCGAGGATGGGGGATCTCTTTGTAGAAAAAAAAAAAAAAATAGGAAGAGGGAAAAGGAAAAATGATGGAGGGGTATCGCGGAAAAGAAACGAGCTCGCCAAAAACTGGTTCCAGCGGGGGGCTTAAGGCCCGAGCGGCGCGGAGAACATAAATCCGCGTTTTGTTGAGATCGAGTCGAGATTAATCGGGGCCCGAGTCGAGCTGACTGCACGAGAGCAGATAATGTCGCTGGGTCCTACATTATATTGAATTATATCGGCTCGACGCCGCTGGATGTAAGTGTAAGCGTACACGGCGCGACCGGTCGTTTTGTTTCCATCGTCAGGAGCCGCGAGAAAGCTTTGTCGGACGAAATCGTCCCCTCGAACGTTGCCCGACATCTTCATTTTTCTATCTTTCGCTGTCTCCTGTGGACTGATTCCTGCCTAGATAATAATTTCTCGGGCCACGATATTTTACACGTTAGTCGTCTAATCTGAGTGGGAAGGATAGCTATGTCTCGTCTTAAAATACCTTAAAAAACAGAATTTTATCAACGTGACGAACGAAAGTTGAAAATAAGAGGACTAAGTGTTGAACTCACTAGAAAGATGTGGCGGAATTAAAAATGCGATACGAAAGAATAGAATGTGCCTTTGCTATTTTTAAGTCGAGCTACTATACGAAAATCAAAGCAATTTCAAAAACAGTTTACGTACTTTGATTTCTGAACGATTTTAGAATCTGTATCACAAACAAATATTGAAGATTTTTCTCTGTTTCACTCATTCTCAGTGTTATTCACTGTAATGTGATCAATTTACTAGTACCACCCTCGATAACGCTGTATATTCATCAAACCACTTAAATTCATCAAAAATTGCTAACAAATAATATTCATGAGTTACCTAACGTTGAATATAGAATCTGAAACCCCAAAAATTGACACGTTCCTTAAACCTACTGTTAAATAACAACATCTAAATATCAACTTCCGCTCGAGAAAAAGAAATCAAAAGGAATGCAAAGTCGTGAAAGGATTATTTTCGCCAAAAATTCCGCCATTGCCGTTTGGAGCCAATAAACGAGATTTCTGGCGAGGAATTCGATCGCAACGGAGGCGATATCTGGCTGGATCTCGCGTCCCGTGATCGCAGAAGCGCGCCAGGATCGAATCGCCGCGATATTTTTACCGGGGATAAAAAGAAACGGACGTTATTGGCGGCTCCGGGAGCCTTAATTGAACGGTATCTGGTTAACGCGGACGAAGTAAACTCGTATTCGGTTAGGAATAATCGCGCTTTAGTCGGCTAATAAATATCGCCGAGGGGTTAATCGCAGCCGCTACCCAATAATTCCCTTTAACGCTGTTAATCCGCCTTCTGCCTTTGGATCCTGCAACCTTTTTCCGTCGGGCTGCATAGTTAACGCGTGTGCGCATCGACGTACGCGCTTCCCACTCCGGGTCCCCCGCCATTAAAGGCCCCCGTACCTAGAAGCGTACCTTTCTTCACCTGTCTCGGTGCCTGGCCGCGCAACTACGCCAAGACTGGAGGGTTTCTTTTTTCCCTAAGAACCCCCGCCTCTCCACCGATCTCCGTTACGCCGCCCGAGAAGTAATAATGTTCAATTGGGTCTAATAAAGACTTTGACGCGGCGTGCCTGACCGCCAGGTGGTGCTCGGGCTACTATGTTATTAAATAGTTACGTCGAATCGGTGGCTCGGAGCGTGGCCGCGACGAGGACAGAGGGATAATTAATCGAATCTTCGCTACGAAATATTCCACGTCCGTAAATGGAACCGATAATGGCCGATAGTCTGTCGTTACATCTCGTGCTTTTATTATAATTCTTTTTATAGTAGTACCTTTTTTAATTGGTGGATTTGGAAATTGATTTATTCCTTTGGTAATTGGGGCCCCAGATTGTATGCTCTTTTTACAAAGGAACCCCTTTAGGCAAATGTTCATTAGGACTATATTAAGAATTCACTGGCAATTCGTGCCACTTTTTTACTTTAACTCTTTGACAGCTGTCATCGTGTCATCATCCATTCAGTTACATTTGTCGGGGTTCAAATTTTATCTCGTGTGATAGTTATGACACCCCATCATTTATTTGTTATAATATTCCCAGCGCCAATTGTCTTAAAAAGTAGCTAAATTGTTCGTCGCCATCTCAAAGAGAAGACGTTCGTTCTTCGATTCTCAAAAATTGAAAAATAATTTTGAAGAAGTAGTAGAAGTATAATAGTTTCCCAGCAGTCGATTACATGGAAATTCTGGGAACCACGATCCCTCGAGCGCAAATATAAATTTATTCTGTTCCGGTTTTCTAACATCCGAGTCCCTTTTTTTGTTCGCGAATGGCTATCACGGTCCACACGGACACGCGCGCGCGCGAGAAGTGCACGCGCTGGGCCGTGGTTGTGCGCGCGTTCGGGACAGGATGTGATTTATGAAATGATCTCCCTGAAGTAGAATTTAATTGAGCGGAGGCGAGGCAAAAGGAAGACTCGGTGTTCCTCGCCCCTGCGATGGATCCTCAGCGGATCTTGATAAAGAGCGGCCTCCGCAGCAATTTTGGACCTCGCCACGATTGACCCCGCAGGGCCAAATTCTTCGTGGCTTCTAGCCGTGAAACTCGCA